ATAAAGTACAACTTACTCTGCATGTTTTCCTGTGACGTGGAGCAGTGCAGTCCTTCACTTCATGTACTTGCTATGAGTCACACACCGACAGGTGCTGCACTCTTCCTGAAACTTGCAGTGGCCCTCCCACTCTCAGTGCAACACACCCAAACTTCCACACATGCCCTCCCTTTGTTATCACACACTCTGATTTCTATGGCTCTGCGCTGTGGATATGCAAAACCCTGAAGCAAAGGACATGCTGTGTGTTTTTCTTCCATTTGAATAAGACTGAGGAGGCTCTTGTAGAGGTAGGAAAGCAGTTATGGACAAGATAAAGAAAAGTTCTCCATAATTTTTTGTAGTTTCTGTCATTACATAATCTTAAGTTCTCGCTCTCCAGACTGTCGCAGAGACACGTGTCTGTGATCATAAACTCTGATTTTGAGACAATCAGTCGATCACTTTCACTCACCGTATTTATGACTCTGATAAGTGTCACACTGATATCTGTGTCTGGCTGCGGTTACACTGGGGCCTGTGAGGTGTGGGGCCCATGGGGAGAGTGGGCCCTCTAACAATGTGTTGGGTGGAGAATGGGCCCTTATGAGTGATTGCCACCATGAAAATATCCTCCTGAGACCCTATGTCTTCATATAGTGATGGCCAAATGAAGCCTCATGAACCACTTTTTTTATTTTCTGACCCCACCAGATGGTGCTCTTGGTTTAAAGATAAAGGCTGAAGGACTTGCAATGAAGTGTGCTTTCAAACCTTTGTTGAACAGACAGCGCCAACTGGTGGCTTCAGAAAATAAAGACAGTGGTTCATAAGGCCTCATTTGGCCATCACTATCCTCATATGAGGACATCACATTTTCGGTTCACTTGACCTTCTACTTCATTCTACTTAACTTCATGGGCACTTTTTGTGCCATCTAGTGGTAGTAAGAGCACAATACACTAATCCATGTAAAAACAAGATGGCAGCCATCTCTGCCAAGTCAGGTTGTGTCCACAAAAGTGGACACAACCTGATCAAATTCTTTGGTTGAAACTTGTCTATTTATGATCAGTAATGTTTGTAGTTTGACACGGCAACAAATTTGACCAATTTTAGCAACAGTAACAAGATAAGACGTTGTTAATTAGGAAGTACTTGTTTGAAGACATTGGGACTTTACTGTCATCTCATTTGTGGATATAAGGACTTAATAATCTTTAACAATGTTTAGTTTTTTATACTTATTGGTTCCTACTGATCCCAAATAGCTAGTAGAAATCAAAAATGCATACCGTACAAAAGTTCAGGTCTCAGGAGGATATGCCTGTTTTTTTTAATGAAGAACTTTTATTAAATTAAAAACAGTGCGATCTGCTATATATGCCCTTGCAAAAAGCAAACCCATTTCCATCATGTTTATTTTTCCTTTATTTGTAAAATAGTCAATAGCATCTATAAGAAATCAACAAATCAATTGTTAAATTAAATTAATAATTTCATATATATAGTGTCATACAAGTCACAAGTTGTAAAAAAAAAAAAAAAAAAACACCCTCTCACAAACACTTTCTTGCTGTGTTTATATTTATTCATCTCTTATTTTTGTCTTCACTCAATCACATATTTTAAATATTGAAAACTGATTCATTCATTAATCATGTAGGTGTTTTGATAAGGACTGGAACCAGGGGTGTAAATAAAGACAGTGCAGGCAGTGCAGTTGCACTGGGGTAGTGATGGCCAAATGAAGCCTCATGCACCAATTTCTTTATTTTCTGACCCCACCAGATGGCGCTCTTGGTTTAAAGATAAAGGCTGAAGGACTGGCAATGTTCCAACCTTTGTTGAGCAGACAGTGCCATCTAGTGGCTACAGAAAATAAAGACAGTGGTTCATGAGGCCTCATTTGGCCATCACTACACTGGGGCTTGTGAGGTGGGGGCCCCATAGAGAGAGTGGGCCCTCCAATGTGTTGGGTGGAGAATGGGCCCCTATGAGTGATTGCTATCTGCCTGTTTTCAAAGAAGGACTCTCACTAAATTAAAAACAGAGACAGTGCCATTTGTTTTATATACCTTTGAAAAACGCAATTATCTGAAGGTTAATTGTTATTTTAGAATATAAAAACTGAACCCTGTTCCAAACTTGTCCTTACCTGATCAATGATGTCAGGTAAAATTCAGGAACTTTAATAACATTTTCTTTAAAATTAAAGATTATTTTGAAAAAGTTAGATACACAAAAAAACATCTAAGATACATCTTTAAATAAAAACAGATATTTGGAATTGAACAGATCAATGAAAGAAGAAAAGGCTGAACAAACCACACTCAAACACCAGGAATCATATTAGGTGATTCCTCATATAAAATGGCAAACAATTAAAATTATACAAGGAAACATATAAACATACATTAACAGACTAGAAAATACAAATTGATGATAAAAATCTAAAACAATGAAAAATGAGTGAATGAATGTACTGAACTGTATAAGCATTTAATAGTGCTATATGGTAGTGATGGCCAAATGAAGCCTCATGAACCACTTTCTTTATTTTCTAATCCCACCAGATGACACTCTTGGTTTAAAGATAAAGGCTGAAAGACTGGCAATGAAGTGTGCTTTCAAACCTTTGTTGAACAGACAGTGCCATCTAGTGGCTTCAGAAAATAAAGACAGTGGTTCATGAGGCCTCATTTGGCCATCACTGATATATGGTATAAAAACATGAATTATATACAGTAAATGCACCATGATTAAACCCCATTATAGCTGGAAATATATAGATGTGATCAAAATCAATTCTATGGAAATAATATCAAAGCTAGTAAACAACAATCGGCCTAGAAATATAGCCTTAATGGAAGATAAGATAATACATGTTCTACATCATATTGCACATTCAAAGGACCAGTGTGTAGGATTCAGGGCAATATACTGGCAGAAATGGCATATAATATAATAAGGATGTTTTATTTAGTGTAAAATCACCTGAAAATAAAATTTGCTGTGTTTTTGTTACCTTATAATGAGTCGTTTTATATCTACATCCCTGTCCATTCATGTTTTTCTTCAGCCACTGTAATTGGCAGCCCCTCCATGACGGGCAGAACAGTGTCTGAAAAACACTGATTTTAACATGAAACTGCTTTATTCAGTGTTTTAACGGTTATTAATCATTGAGTCTGTTTGTTCTAGAGAGGAGGAGACCTCCGTGGATAATTCCGCTCCTGCTAAAAACCTCCTGAACTGGATCTTAAGCTATTAGAGAAAAAGAGGTGAACACATATTAGCAGTAGTGATGGCCAAACAAAGCCTCAAATTTCTTTATTTTCTGACCCCACCAGATGGCGCTATTGGCGTAAAGATAAAGGCTGAAGGACTGGCAATGAAATGTGCTTTCAAACCTTTGTTGAACAGACAGCGCCATCTGGTGGCTTCAGAAAATAAAGACAGTGGTTCAGGAGGCCTCATTTGGCCATCACTAATTAGCAGGTGCTAGTCTAGTGGTTCATCTGCAATGTACTGAACAGCATTGGAAAAACACTGATATGTAACATGAAACGTCTTTATTCAGTGTTTTTACCGATTTTAATCATGTCTGTTTGTTTTGAAGAGGAAGAGACCTCTGTGGATAATTCAGCTCTCAGTTAAAACCTCCTGAACGTCTGGATTTTGTTAGCAGAGACAAAAAGTTAGTGCAAATAGAGTGTGCCAGGGCTGACGTCAAAACCCGGAAGTTTAGCATCGCACTGGTTCCCGGAAGAGAAAGTGAATGTGATTTTTGCATTGCGTTTTGGATTATGTCATAAAATTAGCTCTGTGGCTAACACAAGTTTATGATACTTACAGGTTTTGTTCAGCGAGATAATCTTCACATATGAACACCTTTCATACCGCATTTGAAGCTTAAATGCGATCGCTCGAAGTAAAAAGCTAGCGTTAGGCTTTAACGGACTACTTGACTACTCCACGGTTGCATGACTCTTGATGTCACCGCCATAAGCTTTCAACTGATTTCAGCCGCTTTATTTTAAAAACATTGTATAATAGGGAAATCGGACTGTTTATAGCTAAATAAGAAGCTGTAATGACGGACTGCCAGCACTCTTGCCTGTTCAGGGGTGATGGCGTTTAATGTCCCCGACAGGGTTTGTAGTTGTATTGAGCAACTTGCTAGCAACCGCCTTTTTTACGACAAGTAAAAGCTTCAAAATTCACAAGTAGGGTATTTACTGACGTGTTTTATGTCGTAGAACAAAACCTGAAACTTGCTTAAGCTTTTGTTAACCGCAGACCTTATTTGAGGCATTTTACCAAAATCCCATTCAAAAAACGTATTGACTTTTAGACGAGAGAACCAGAAGTGCTAAAAGCGCTAACGGAGTTCCGGGTTTACTGGCACACTCTATTAGCAGGTGCTGGTCTAACAGCCTGTCTGCGATGTACCAAACAGCATTGAAGAAACGCTGATTTGTAACATGAAACTTCTTTATTCAGTGTTTTTACCGGTTTAAATCACCTAGTCCATTTATTTTGGAGAGGAGGAGACCTCTGTGTATAATTCGGCTCCCGGTTAAAACCTCCTAAACTTCCGGATTTTGTTAGCAGAGACAAAAAGTTAGTGCAAATTAGCAGGTGCTGGTCTAGCAGCTTGTCTGCGATGTACCAAACAGCATTGAAGAAACACTGATTTGTAACATGAAACTTCTTTATTCAGTGTTTTTACCGGTGTTAATCACTTGGTCTGTTTGTTTTGGAGAGGAGGAGACCTCTGTGAATAATTCGGCTCCTGGTAAAAACCTCCTGAGCAATAAACACTGAGGGAATTTTAATTGGTAGAAGATTCAGCTTGTTGCAATTTGCAATGCTCGCCACTAGATGCCACTAATGGATAAAGCATGTAACTACTATATTGTGTAAGTCTATTTCTGGTTACATATTGATAACTGTGACTCCTGTAATGTTGACCGCTGCTCAGGATGATGAATCTATGTCAGTGTTTTATTTTGTGAGCTCTACCATCATAATTTTCAGAGGAGCCACCTCCTTTTTTTCTGCCGCCACACAGGGATCAAATACGGGGTAAACCTTCTGTGTAAAGTTACACTTTGTGAAGGTGAAGATGTGAGTCTTGGCCTCCACATCGAGGAACGACACCTGCCTCTCCTCGTAATCCACAAACACACCCACCCTCTGGGGAGGGGTAGACGGCGTTAAAGGGAATGGATTTCGGGTGTACACAAAATACTGCCCTCCATCCCTGTGACCTAAGGTCCACAAGCCGTTCTCCGGGGAAGGAGCGACGTGTTCCCTCCTCTTCACCGTGCCAGAAGCGACTCCCAGCACCCAGTTGGATTTCTCCTTCACCCTGACCTCCCAGTAGTGTCTGCCTGTGGTGAAACCCTTTGTTGCAACAACAAAAGTGTTTTCTGTGAACCTCGCCGGGCTAGTCAGAACCTTGTGCTTCTTTGGAGACTGCCTGACTTCTTTCCCATCGTCAGAGACAATAAGCCAGGGTCCTGCGGTGTCAGGGTCAATGGTGATGTCCTCTGTTAGAGCAGACAGGATGCAAGAATTGAATATGTTAATCTCATTCTCACAATGACATGTAACTTTTTCATTTTCATTTTAAATTGAATTTGATTAAAAAAATCACAGGAAAACATCCATCTTAGACGTTAGGGGTGACAAACCTGCAAATTGCTGCATTTTCTTAAGCTCTGCAGGAGGAGATAGACCATAATTAATGATGTGATAAATGATGCAATTGATGTGTTCAATGACAAATGAGAGTGCTGTAAAAATAGCTCAATTCATCAAATCACCTGTAGTGTTCAAATCGTCCTCAGTGACAACATAGTTTATCACTCTGTTTCTAATGTGTTTTCATCAAATGACCTTCCACTTATCAGACTGTCAGCGACGCAGAGTCAGAAAAAGTGGCCGACCAATATGATCGCATATTTTCATTTCTAATGTTCAATGATCAGATTAGGATACGCACATCTGGACCAATCAGAACAGAGCTGGATAACACTGTCACATACTTCCATATATGGAGCAAAGCACGCCTCTATGGCAAAACCATGACTCTCAATCGTGTATATCACAACCTCCCGAGTGATCAATTGAGATTACAATAATTAGATTAGATTATAATATAACATGACAATGCCTTTTCATGTCTTGTGGCTAAACCTAACCATGCCTTAACACTGTTGTCATAATGTAAAACTGAAAATTGAAATGTGAGAAAATGTTAAGTTTCAACATATCCACTACATATGAAACATACAAATGTACCATATCTGTTGTCTGCAGAAATGTACAATGCCAACATTTATTCTGGTGATTAGGTTGTAGATGTTAGACACCAGTATGATACTTTGCTTCAAACTTACTATTGGCTGACTGTTTCTTAATTTCCAGGTTGATGAACTCTCTTGCTTTAATCAACGACGTCTGGATATAACCCAAGAAATCCATCTCATTGACGGGGATGCTTGGCCAGGTCTGAGTTGACGGTAGTGTGTAGGCTTGATTGAATGCCTGTCAATGGAAAACAGAAACAATGTTGTCACAGGCTGTTGGGTTGCTGTTCACTGTGAGTGTGCTGAAGTTCATATGCTAGCATGGTACATGCTAATCATGAGTATATTTAACACCCAACTGTTGTTGATATTAGCTTGTTAGCATGCTAATGTAAAAAGATATATTTAGCTGTAACAGCTGAGTTTTACTACAGATTGTGAAGGCCCTACAAATGAGTGGCAACTACCGGGAATGAAAAATGAAGCCAATGCAAAAATTCCCAAAAGTGCAGTTCTGCAAATGGCCACTTGAGGCTGGCTCAAAAAGTGAGTCTATCCCTATAGATAGTGACGGCCAAATGAAGCCTCATGAACCACTTTTTTTATTTTCTGACCCCACCAGATGGCGCTCTTGGTTTAAAGATAGAGGCTGAAGGACTGGCAATGAAGTGTGCTCTCAAATGTTTTTTTGAACAGACAGCACCACCTAGTGGCTTCAGAAAATAAAGACAGTGGTTCATAAGGCCTCATTTGGCCATCACTACCTATAGACACCCATGATAAAATGTCCAACTTTACAGAAATAATAAACATGTTTACAGCCTGATACAAAAAACAATTTCAGTCTTTATAACTAATTTTTATATAACATTTATAAAACTTTTTTTTTTTTTTTTTTTACGTTTATATTTTATGGAGTCCTAAAGTTATGTATAATTAAGGGCATGGCCGCTGTGGGTACCATCCGTTGACAACTAGCTATCACAGCAACAAAGTAAGGTAATGTAGCCATGTCTTAACGCCAGTTTTCAGTTTGTGAAAGAAAATTTTAACATTTTGGTTGCCCCCAAAAAATCTTGCTCAGCGTTTGCTTGTACTAAAAGACCCTCTAAGGAGTCGAATGTTTGGTTTTACCAATGATTAAATTTTATTTTTTTGGCTTTAAGACTGTTTTTGTGCCAGTGAATATTAGCATTAGCATTAGCATCATCACAGTTAACCATAGGTTATAGGGTTATCTCCACCCTCTTGAACACATATGGTCTCTTCTGGCTCCAAAAATCCAACAAGGCAACTGTCAAACTTCAAAATGGGAGTCCACAAACAAATGGGTGACATCATGGTGGCTACGTCCATAACCTTTATACAGTCTTTGCCTCAAAGATATTCTGATTATGGACCATATAAATGAGATTGACTGTACTTATCACAAGTACAGACTCAATCAGGAAGTTGTTGTACATTTAACATCCACATAAAAGACGAGGTTAGATCGTTTCTGTACTGACCTCCAGGAGCTCGATATGGTCTTTAATGCCCAAGAGCTGCTGTAGTTCAGCACTCTTCTTCTCCAGTTCGTCGATTTCCTGCCTCAGCTCCTTGATGAGCTTTTCAAACCTCCTCTGTTCTGCATTGTGTCTCGCCTCAATCTCCTCCATGAGCTCTGTGTGGATAGTCTTCATGGACTCCATCACAGACATGAAAATCTCGGTACTGTCCTCTATTTCTTTCTGCGCATTTTCCTAAATGTCAAGTATAAAAACCATGTCATCATTAAAACTATACGTACCTTATAAATGATTATATACTGTACAAGCTCAGTTATCTAACTTATAGATAAGCAGTGTGGGATTTATTTTGTACTTGATCGATTACATGAACTTTATTCCAGCTCTCACTTGTCCATGTGGTCAAAAAAGGGAAAACACCATCCACCATTGATATTTTTTTTTGTTTAGGTTAATGTAATTCATGTTTACAAAAGGCTCACTTTTAATTTTAGTGACTCTTCTGCCAGGCATTTGTGACGTGATTGTTTGTATGTTTTTGCCATGTGAAGAGCTCCAAAATATTTTTGTTTTTAACTCTGTCTCTAAAACAACAGAGAACAAGAAAATAATGACAAAAAATTCCAAACAACGTGAAGTTAGACTAGAAAATACTGTATTTCCTGAAGAAATTCTACGCATGCTTACTGCCAAAAATTAAATAAACTGCAGTTTACATATTTTAAAAAGCTGGAGTCGGAATATAATTATTGAAAGGTTAAAATTAAAGTGCTGAAAGAAGTTTAAATGTATGCGCAAATTAGAGTTAAAGATTTAGTTGAAGTTCAAGCACGGATATTTAGGTTATAAATAGGCTGGAGAGTGTAACTGGTAAATTGTGCCGAAGTCCTGAGAGAAATTTAAGCCAGTTCAAGTGTCTAAACTGAAAGATTTCAGTTTCTCGATTAAGTAGTGAAAGCAGTTGAAGTGTAAGATGTGGTAATTAGAGGAGCTATTATACTAATCCTTTACTATTATAGTTCCAGCCATGTTTTAAGCAACAAAAGCAGGTATTTTTTAACGAAAGCTCAGGATATATTCAGCTGTGTTGGTGGCAACAAAAGCAAGTATATATTAACCAGAGGTCGGGATTTTTCCAGGCAACTCTGTGGCAACAAAAGCGGGTATTTTCTAACAAAGAGTTTGGGGCATTTCCAGCCGTGATTTTATCAAGAATAGAGAGTATATTTTAACAAGAATTCAGGACATTTTCAGCCATGTTTTAAAAGTCAAAAGTGGGTATATTTTAACAAGAGGTTGGGACATTGCCAGCCATGAAAGGGAAAGTGAAAGCATTTAAACAAGTGTTGGCATTACTGAAAGCAGTGGAACTGTCATTTTGAAAATACGACATGCAAGTAGTTGAACTTTTAATTTTTTTCAAATGTCTTTTGAAGTGAAAATACTGAAGACAGTTTACAGTCAGTTTAAGAGATAAAAGGAGTTGAAAGTGCCAGAGAAGGTTGCGGGTGTGTCGTAGGCAGCTGGAATGAGACGAGCACACTAACTGATTACACCTGTGAGATTTTTTTGTCTGTGAGTTTTTAAAGAAAACCTACCTAAAGCAGTTTGCCTCACCCTGCCTAACTGTAGATACATTTCATTTAATGATTTCTACATGTTGCTCTTGATGATGTTAACTTTTCATATTCTTACAAATAATGCTATAACGTATACATGTATTTTATGTGGAATTCAATATTAACAAAATTATTTCAGTGATTCACAATTGTTTTTAACTCCAGGCTGCTCCGTGTTGATTTAGAAATGAAGGTGTGTGACCATATATTGTTATTTGGGAGCATTTCTTTGTGTAAAGAGCCTCTCAGGTGTGGAGAGTGGAGGGTTAATGAAGGCAGATCGCTAACAGGTGTGTCTGAGTTAAGGCAGGTGTGCAGAGCTGATAAATAGGAGCTGCTATGTGCTGCCTGCGACACTCTGATCGTCTCTCTGCCAGAGTGCAGAGCCTTTTTTTTTTGACACATTTGACCAGTGAGGGTTTTGTTGTGTTGAATTTGAACTCACCTTGGTTTGTTTCTTTGAGTGACTGATTTCTTCAATCCTCTTTTGCCGATCCTGAATCATCAGCTCCACTTCTCTCCCTTTCCTCTTAATCTGAATCTGGGAGAGGAATAAAAACATCCATCTATCCATTTTCTAACCGCTTATCCTCTTGAGGGAATAAAAACAGTTGGAGTGAAAACACATATCTGCAGATACCCTAACCAACCCTAACCCTGCTCCCCATAGACCACATTTAAACTAAACCTCACTGTGTCCTTTTTTTTAACAAATAATGTACATCTTAAATTTAAGATGTTAAGTTTTCTACCATATGTTACTGCCAGGAACTGAAACCTTTGACTTCTAATGTCAAAGAACAGCATCCTCTGTTAACTATGCTTAATGTGTGGTTATGTTTAGGCACAAAAACCACCTGTTTCTGGTCAGGAAAAGCTTACACAAACAACTGCGTTTCATGTCACTATCCCCCACTGGAAAAACTGTGACGGGTCTCTATAAAACACCAACGTGTGGTGCTTATAAAAAGCCACTGGAAGCAAAGCAATGCCATGCTAAATCATAACCAGTTTGATGGTTTGTGGATCTCATACAGTGGTTTACAGTTTAACAGGCTTGCCAAGATTACAATTTCTGTTGGAAAAGCAGAAGTGTCTGTAAAAAAAACAACTACTTGCCACTATCCCCTCTGGAAAAGCTGCTTTTTAGTGCCACTATCGCAGCATAAAAAGCAACATGTCAGTAAAAAATAACTGGTGCTGTAATGGAAACACAGTGATGGGTCCCAAAAAAAAAAAACACCCATGTTTGTGCCTAAAAAGTTACTGTAAACACAGCAATTATGGACTAAATCAAAACCGGTTTGGTTGTTTGTTGGTTTCCAACAGTGGTCTCCTGCTAAAAAGCCATTTTACCTAGCTGACAGGCTCAAAAATCTGGGTTTGGGGATACTTTCCCTGCTGGGAAAGCAGAAATGTCTTGTTTAAAAACAACAGCTTTTGGGGCATCGGTAGCGTAGTGGATAGTGCCAGCGCCCCATTTACAGAGGCGATGCCTCGCTGCAGTGGTCGCAGATTCGACTCCGGCTTGCAACCCTTTGCTGCATGTCAACCCCCACTCTCTCTCTCTCACCCCATTTCAATCTGTCCTGTCCATTAAAGGCAAAAAGCCCCCCAGAAAAACATTTAAAAAACAACAACAGCTTTTTATGCCACCACACACACTGGAAAAAGTGATGTCTTGGCAACTATTTTTCATGCCACTATGTTGGCAGGAAAGGGAGCAAGGTCTAAATAAAAACAATTGCTTTTTGTGTCCAAAAAGCTGCTCAAAACACAGTGATGAGTCTCTAAAAAACACCCACATTTGGGGGCTGAAAAGTCGCTGGCAAAACAGCAGCAAGTCCCTAAAAAAAAAAAAAACCCACTGTTTAGTGTCTCCGCTGGAAAAGCAGAAATGTCTTGGTAAAAAACAATAGCTTTTTATACTCCTATGCTGGCAGAAAAGGCAGCAGTGCCTCGGTAAAAAAACTGCAGCTCAAAACACAGTAATGGGTTCCTAAAAACCCTCCACACTGGGGCCTAAAAATCTGCTGTAAATACAGGGTTTACTGACTAAATCACAACTGGTATTTGTTGGTCTCAAACAGTAGTCTATAGTAGTTGGCAGGTCGTATTTTGACCTAAAAATACCTAGGTGTGGGCACACAATCCCCGCTGAAAAAGCAGAAATGCCTTGGTTAAAACACAACTCATTTTCATGCCACTAACCCTGCTGGAAAAACAGTGATGGGTCACCACAACATACCCACTTGTTTGGCCTAAAAAGCTGTTGGAAACACAGCAATGACGCACTAAATCACAACCAGTTTTGTTGTTTGTGGGTCTCAAACCATGGTCTGCAGCGTGACATGCTTGCCAAGATGACAGATTATGTTTTGGCGTATAAATACCAGATTTGGGGGCCACAATCTTCGCTGGAAAAGCAGAAATGTCTTGGTAAAAAACAACAGCTTTTTTATACCACTATGCTGGCAGAAAAGGCAGCAATGTCTCGGTAAAAAAGTTACTGCTCAAAACATAGTAATGGGTTCCTAAAAACCCCCCACACTAGGGCCTAAAAATCCGCTGTAAATACAGGGTTTACTGACTAAATCACAACTGGTATTTGTTGGTCTCAAACAGTAGTCTACAGCTTGGCAGCCATTTTGCCGAGCTGACAGGTTATGTTTTAGCTCAAAAATACCTGGGTTTGGGGACATGATCTCTGCCAGAAACGCAGAAATGCCTTGGTTAAAAAACAACTGCTTTTCATTCCATTATCTCCGCTGGAAAAACAGTGATGTGTCACTACAACACACCCACTTTTGGTGCCTGAAAAGCTGCTAGAAACACAGCAATGGTGCACTAAATCACAGCTGGTTTTGTTGTCTCTCGGTCAGCTCACATACTTTGTCACTTACACAACTCATAACGACAAAATAAAAACTACATTTTGCCATTTTCTGCTGTGACGCGGCCTCTGCTGTTAAAACTTGGTGTTGGCTGTGGTCCGTCTCGGCACAAATCTGACATATGAACCTCTCCTCCATCTTACAGAACAGCTCCAGGATCTTCCCATGCTTCTTACATATCCTGTCCTCCAGGTTCCTGACTGGCTCAATCAGCTTATGTCTACTCAGGGCTGCTGCTGTCTTGTGAGGCTCCAGGTGACCCTCACAGTACGACGCCACACACACCAGGCAGGACTTCATGGCTTTTAGTTTCACACCTGTGCAGACGTCACACGCCACTTCACCAGCTTTGGCCTCACAGGCTTCACCGCTCGTCACTGAGCCTGCGTTTGTGTTTTTAAAGTCATTGACGACCTCTCTGAAGGAGACGTTGATCCGCAGCTCGGGTCTTTTGTGAAATATCTCCTTGCACAGGGGGCAGCTAGACACTTCTGTGTTGTCCCAGTATTTGTTAATGCAGAGCTTGCAGAAGTTGTGTCCGCATGGAGTGGAGACAGGATCAGTGTAAAGCTCCAGACACACAGAGCAATGGAAGCGATGGTCATCCGGTGTTTGGGCCATGTCTGAAACAACGGAGAAACCCAATCTACCTGAATGACAGCAACAAACATGAAATGATTCACCATACTTCTTAAAGGTCCAGTGTGTTATTGGCTAAAATGGACTAAAAAAAGTGCTTTCTTTAGCATATTATCACCTAGAAATAAGAATCCTTGTGTTTTCATTTCCACCAACATAGCTAGCAGCCCCTCTGCGATGAGTAGCGCCGGAAAAATCAGATTTTTTTTTTTTTTTTTTTTTAATCGTACTGATTTTGAAACTGCTTTATTTAGTGTCTTGATGGGTTTTAGTCACTGGGTCCATTTGTTTTGGAGAGGAAGACACCTCTGTGGATAATTCAGCTCCCGGTTAAAACTTCCGGAACGTCTGGATCTTAAGTTATCTGAAAGATGTGAGCACACATTAGCAGGTGCTGGGCTAGCAGCCTGTCTGCGACATGCCGAACAGCGTTGGAGAAAACTGATTTGTAAAGTGAAACTGCTCTATTTGGTGTTTTTACCAGTTTTAATCACCTGGTCCGTTTGTTTTGGAGAGGAAGAGACCTCTGCGGATAACTCGGCTCCTGGTTAAAACCTCCTGAACACTGAAGGAATTCTAACTGGGAGAAGTTTCAGCTGGCTGCAATCTCCAATCCTCACCTCTAGATGCCACTAAATCCAATACACTGGACCTTTTTAAAGGCCAGTAGGAACTTCATAGCCTCAAATAATGCAATAAAATCCATTTTTAACTCCCATGTGTTCAATGTAGTTCAGTAAAATCATCTCTTCCTTTTTGTCAAACAAGTTTTTTGGTATGTAAGGTTAAAAATAGACACAGTAGAGAGCGTACAAATCGAAGTATGGCTGTGTTAGTGTTATGTTATCTGGATAAAAACTGGATTTAGTAAGTTTTAGCTCTTGAAATACCCTTTAAAATACGATAAATCTCACAACAAACTATGCTGCCTTTCTAAAACTTGACTGGCACTTGAACTCATGCGTGAGTCCAACGCTTTCATGAAACAAGTGTTTGTCGCTTTTGTTTTCTACTTACGGTGCAAAAACCCCCCGCAAGAATCTACTGTAGACCAAAAGAGTAGTGTCTAAATTATAATATGCACTTAATCTATCATAAATAGCAAGAAAATAAGTCTCACAAAAAGAACTTCCCACACATTCAACACAGTACCCATGTCTACGCAGTTGATAGATACCTGCTTGTCTCTTGGCGGTCTGCTCAGGTATGACAGGTATCAGTACTGATCTTTTTTCCTTGTTTAGACCATGGGTGTAACTGCTGAGTCATGGTTTGTGATTGGTGTATTTTCACATTTATTTTCTCCCTCCTCTCGATGCTTTTAAATAGTTTCGTGGGGAGAATTTGTACATTCCCTGGGTGTTGAGGCTGACAGTCTGACAGTCACTTCCTCGTCTGTTTAGAAGGAAGTGAGACAGCTTGAAAAGCTGCTCAGCATTAAGTCATTTATTTACACAAATTTGTCTTGGAGAATTTAACAAACCCTACATGATATAACACCTCGGCTTGTGTGTGTTTTCCTGTAGCGCTTTAACAGTATACTCAGACTATTAGTATGTAGTGTGGGATTATTTGGGAGCATTCCTTTGTGTAAAGAGACTCTCAGGTGTGGAGAGTGGAGGATTAATGAAGGCAGATCGCTAACAGGTGTGCCTGAGTTACGGCAGGTGTGCAGAGCTGATAAATAGGAGCTGTTCTGTGTTGCCTTTAACACTCTGAATGTGGTTCCTCCAGAGTTTAGAGGCTTTTTTTTGACAGTTTTGAGAATTCACCGTTATGTTTCTTTGAGTGATTGACTTCTCCAATCCTCTTTTGCTGATCCTGAATCATCAGCTCCACTTCTGTCCCTCTCGTCTTAATCTGAATCTGGGAGGGAGTTGGAAACTCTTATCTGGAGAAAGCACATGCATTCATTTTACAAACATGTCCATAATTGTAGGCCCATTTTATGTCTATGAAAGTGAGATACAAACGCGACCATACCAGAAACTACTGCTGTAAACCAGTGAGACCATGACTAAGACTATTCGAAGCCTGAACCAATGGAATAAAAAGATAACCCTAACCCTAGTTTTCCTCTGCCGAGACCAAATGCCCTTTTTTGCAATGTTAACAAAAGTGAAAAATGACTTGAGATTTGGATCCGTCCCAAAATTTAATGGATTCTTCACCTTTCCACCAAGTTTCATGAAAATCAGGGCAGAAGTTCTGCCGTAATCCTACTGACAGACAGACAAACCAACTAAAATGAAAACATCACCTCCTTGGTGGAGGTAATGAACCTCAGCGTGTCCATTTTAAAATTAGATTTATGTCTTCAGTAAAAGGTCTCCTACCATGGCAGCATGTCTTCTAGAAATGATGTTTCATATATATAACTGATTTGAAACAGTAGATGCATTTTTAGGGAAACTAAGGGTGCATCCCATTTCCACCCCTTCCCCTTGGTTTGGCGCATTCACATGAGGGGTAGGGGTGTTTCAGTTCTCATTTGGAGTAAGGGCTAGGGCCAAGACCGAGGGCTACATGGCCCTTGAAACAAAGATTCTGGAGGACCACACTTGAAAGAGAGGGCTATGAGGAATTTCTCATCATCCACCGCGTAACCATCAAACAGACAGCCAGCAAAAGTTTTTCTTATATAGCAATGGCTAGTGATGGCCAAACAAAGCCTCATGAACCACTGTCTTTATTTTCTGACCCCACCAGATGGCGCTCTTGGTTTAAAGATAAAGGCTGAAGGACTGGCAATAAAGTGTGTGTTCAAGCCTTTGTTGAACAGACAGCGCCATCTGGTGGCTTCAGAAAATAAAGACAGTGGTTCATGAGGCCTCATTTGGCCATCACTGGCAATGGCTGAACAATCTCCAAGAGAATCGCACAAACATATTTTCAGCATAGTAATTGATATTATAATCACAGCTCTCATGTTTCATGATACAATTAATACAATGTTTGAGCAGTTTTGCCGACGTTAACGTTTCAGTGTTCCTTTCATGTGTCTCAACCTGAGACGACGGCATTTTCGTTTGTTTGTGTCAACTCTTGTCACTTTTCCTGACGTAGCAGCCAGCTTACGGGAAGGCATGCTGATGCAAATGGTAATCGAGTGGTGTCTAATTTCATAGGGGATCGTTTCGCCTGCTCAACCCTGTATTGAGGGGCAAGTAGAAGATGCAGACGAAGGGGGAGGGGTAAGAATGAGAACTGGGATTCACCCTAAATACTGAGCAAATTACATTTTCTACTAAAACATAAAGAAGAAATGTTGCTAATGAACGTAATGGCAAGTTGCAAAAATGTTGATAGTGAACGCATCAGCAAAACGTTCACAGACAACGTATCGGTTTTCCGCAAATATAGGCGATCTTGCAATACACTGTCCAATGGCAATGACCACAATTTATTTTGTCACCTTTTGAATATTTAACACAGTGCACCTTAATCAAAGTGCATTGATGCTTTAAAAATAAGAAATAAAATGTAGCCGAAACCATGATCTTTCCTTAACCTTAACCAAAGAGCTTTTGTTGCCTAAACCTAATACACGAGTCTTCACAAGTGGTGAAGTGACATCATAATAATAATAATAATAATAATAATTATTATTATTATTATTATTATTATTATTATTATTATTATTATTATTATTATTATTATTATTATTATTATTATTATTATTATGAGACAGGGTTGGTTATACAGTAGTTTGTTCACAGCAGAAAGTGACACAACAAAGACTGTTTTTCATGCACATAGTATTCCAGTTTTTGTACTTATTCGGAAAAAGACAAACTTCCTACTAAGTTGTTTATAACATTTATAATATTACACATCATCCTAAGGGGGACATGAATGTCTGCACAAAGTTTATTGGCAATCCATAGTAAACTATAACAGTTGTTGAGATATTTCAGTCCAACCAGCCACTGATATCTCAACACTATTGATTTCATTGACGAAAACTATCACAAAAAAATTTCGTCAACAACCTTTTTTCCATGATGACAATGACAAGATAAAAATTGATCTTTATAATAAAAACTGAGATGACATCTATTTTTCATTTTTGTCAATGAGATGTGACAAAAATATTAGTGGTGGACTACTGCACTTTGAAAGCCAAGAATGGCGGTGATTGTGATTATCTTCAAATGCCACATGAGCGACAGGTTGGTAAACTCCAGAAAATAGTCTGTGCCAGGATGTTTCTCTAGCCAGCAAAAGCACTTACACTGGAGCAGCGTCACATGATGTTGCGAGTTTGAGCTGTGATTCAGCAGTAGATAATTGCGGAGTTCGGTCATTCCAGCAGTTAGCAGTTAGCTCCGCTTGTTAGTCGCTGAATGGCAGCAGAGCAAGCAGCCACTAGACGCCGGACTTCACAACTGATCCCCACAGGCTTAAATCTAATCCAGATTGTCTCAGGAAGGTTTATGGGTTGATGCTGTTTGACAGGCAGGTAGGAGGCTCAGTTATCTGTGAGTTTAGCTGTGCTATAAGTAAACAGTCTGAACTCAGATCAGTTTTCTCTGACAGACATCAAAGTTTAGTTTAATCATCAACTCTGTGAGAGGCCTCCAGATTTCCATGTTGCATCTTAAGAATTCAGGCTGAAATAAATAAATGTTTCTGCTTCTTACGTAACAGTGAGATCAATGAGTCAGAGTTTACAATGATCCTGATTCAAATCATAGTTGTCTCAGATTAATTATTTGTGGTGACAAAGTTTTTGAGAGCATAAAAAGAGAGATGCTGAGCTTTTCAGAAGATGATTAGTAAGTGTGTGCTCATAAACCACCCCTTGAACCTGTCAAACAATACTGGAGAAATGACAGTTTGTACGTGTTCAGAAATGATTTGTAGTTGTAGAAAAAATCGTCTAAATTACATTTTTATACAACCCGTCACCATGATTGTAATTTCTGATACCCGAATTAGCCTCACTGGATTAGCATAAATATAGAAAACATAGAAAACCTAATGACTAAAAGTACTGACTAAAATGTTATGATTGTTTGTCGACCAAAATATTTTGAATTTTCATTGACTAAAAAAGACTAAAACTATGACAGATAAAAATGACTAAAATGTGACTAACTAATGAGCATTTTCATCCCATGAAAATGCTGTCAAAATTAACACTGCATCCCATGAACCATG